TATATATATATATATAAACGTTATTGTTAGGAATAGGTAACTACAAAATTAGGATGTTTTTATTGTCATCCCTCACAGTAGAAAAAGAAAAAAAAGAAAAAGATGAGGTGGTGGTAGAACGTTTGGTTGGTAGAAGAGAGTCAATTCTACAGACAATAATACCAGTTTTATGATCGTTTCTTAGCCGGATATAGAATCTTATCAATTATGCATTCACTTGGGGTTGATATCTTTAGAACAGTTGGTTCTCTCTTAAGAACTGATATCGTTTCAGTTTATTAAACAGCAGAAAATCATAGATATCACTTTTGTTTGTTTATTTATTTGTTTAATAAATAAAACAAACAAAATATATCTTTAACTCTACTTAACATATTATTTTAAATGAATAACATTTGTCATTGAAAATATAAATATTGGATTGTGATAAGTAAATGATTGCGGATTTTGTCGATAATTGGTCTTTTAAAATCAATCCACTTAGCAATGCATTGTGCAATAAAGCACAATAAATAAATACTATATATATATAAAGCATAATAACAATAAATAAACAAATAAAGCATTGTACAAAGCAATGACCTAGTTGCCAACCCAATATTTATCATAAAGTAATTAATAATTAATTTTTAAATCAAATTAATTCAATGTGAATGTCAACTATGGTTTGATGAAGAACAAACTTTCGTATTGTTAAAAAATAAATTATTATAAATTAATTTGTAAGATTAGGGTTGATGACAAATGATTGATTTACCTGACTGAACCGGAAGTTACGAGGAATGGCATCGGCGTAGGACATGGGCTCAATGGCGAACTGCTCACCGAACTTCTTGTACTGCTCAACACAGAATGTGGACATTGTGGTGGACCAACGTGCGAACCATTTGCACCAGTTTTACTCATCGTACGACTTTTCAAACAGGGTATCCTCGGCCATCCGCTGGCACTCTTTCCTGAAATTCCTGTAATTGTTACAACAAATAACAAAACCTAAGCATCACAACGATCAATAGTAAACAAATGAAGTTTGGCAATACGAAAAATAATGTTCCAGGTTTTTTTTAATGTTTTAATTTGATCAACAATTGAGTATAATAATCTTTTTTTGAATTTGATTGATGTTTTGGGAATTAAATTCTATTTGTTTGATTTTAAAAAATAAATTTAACAAGCCATGTTATTTTGTTTTTAAAAACAATACACACCAAACACATCACTTAGTGTACATTTAATTTCCAAAGTATCGCAAACTTTGTTTTCTAACGAAGTCTACGTAATTCTTATCTAATGAATACTTCGTTTAAACAAATTAATTATAATCTAAATACATTTATTAAATATTGTAATAAAATATGTATTTTAAATATGGGTTTGAAGGGGTAACTCATCAAATTCGATTCATTTGATTGAAATTTGTAATTTTTATTGAAGTTTCAGCATCTTTCACAGACAGGGAATCTTCTCGAGTCTCTTGCAGGGAATCCTCAGCAAGAAGATATTTAAAAAGTGAAACGGATAGACAATGGGTTGAGTCCAATCTTGAGGAAAGGAACTTGAACAATAGCCTTGCTAAAAGAAAGATAAGGGGAAAAAAGAAAAAAAAGGGACCAGGTCTCTGGTTTCCATTGGGAAATGGTTTGAAGAAAGATTTCAAGATTTCAAGATCTTCAAATGAAGATTTTTCTCCTTTTCTTTTTTTTTTTCTTTCTTTCTATCTCAAGATTTCTGGATCACTCATCAAAGGCAGATTAAATTTCACGATAGTCTTCGACTTATCAATCATATATCTGACTTCAAACATGATATCTATTTCAGTGATGAATCATTTTGTCTTTTTTGCTGATCAGTGAGTTTAAATTATATATAAAACGATAAAAAAATATTTTATTTATTAGATAGTTGATAAAATAAATTTTATATAATATTTAATGTTTTTATTTGGATTCATAGTGGTAACAAAATAATAATATTAAAAACGTCCAATCAAAATTGGTATAATATTTATTTATGATATTTTAATATTTATTACAATATTTTATTTATTTAATTAATAAATATAATATAATAAAAAAAAATAAAAATAATATAATAAATAAAAAATTATTATTATGATTATTATGATTATTATTATTATTATTATTATTATTATTATTATTATTATTATTATTATTATTATTATTATTAGTTGGCATTAGGNTTATTATTATTATTATTATTATTATTATTATTATTATTATTATTATTATTATTATTATTAGTTGGCATTAGGAACTCGAAAGTTCATTGTAATAAATAAAAAATATAAATTTTTTATTATTTAATAGTTTAAATATTTTAATATTTATTATATTTTATTTATAATATACAAAACTTTGATTAAATTATTTGGTAATTCATAGATCGAATTAAACAAAACAAAACAAAACAAAACAAAACAAAACAAGTTATCTCGTGGATTACAGATTGTTTGATTTATTGAAATTGTCGTGAAGAAAAACAAATCATTCGATGAAAAAAAAAAAATCTTCAATAAAACTTTTTTTCTTTTTTTTTATCATAACAAACAAGAGTAGAAATTAGCTGAGAGACGAAAAGACGATTAAAAAGCCTCGACGAAAAGACGTCTTAATGACGTTAGTTGAGGCTCCGCATCGTCTTCGAAGAGAAGAGAAAGGGTGTAAAGGGAATTGGAGAGTGGACGAGTTAGAGGGATGAGGGATGGGGGAATGAGGGATAGAAGAGAGAGGGGTTGTGGATCGAGGGCAACAGATGTCATGGACCTCGAAGGGTGGTTGTTGGGTCGACCCAGTTCGTTTCTGAGTGCAAGTGCTCTGACGTTCACGAATCCTTTCGTCCTTCTCGTTATAGTTACGAGCTTTAAGGGATGTTACAATTCAAATGATTTTTTTTTTTCCTAACACTTATGTCATACTTAGATGCTTAACTATTTTTATTTTTGTTATTTACAGATAAACCCATTTAAGAAGAACCCCCATAGAATTCTACAAGATTTACTGTTATTGGTTTATAGAAAATAGATTTTTTTTATGTATACAGGAAATAAAATAGGTTAGAATTTTTTAGATAGTAATTTCCAAATACAATTATCAACATTCTCTTTTTTTTTTTTTTACAACTTAAACTACAATCTGATCTTCTTTAAAGATCAATTTAACATCTTAATTGGTGTACAGTTATCAATGATTGAAAATACTTCACATTAAAAGGTTCTCGAGATTTTGTAGACAACTTATTTTTTTTTTTTCAGATTGTAATACAAGAATTACTGCAATCCAAAATAATTTTGCACTTAAATAATTATATTTTTAATATTACTTAGAAACAATTTACAGATTACGATGCACTTATTGTCCTTAATACTTTGAGTCAAAAGAAATACTAAATTAACTAATCAGAAAATAACGTGTCATTTATTATATAATTTCCTGTATTATCATCTAGGAACAATTTACATGTACTATTTATATCGAATAAAATGATACGATAAATTATGAGAAACATTTTAATAAGCACGCGTGTACGTGTGTGTTTAGTTCCGATGATGAACAACTAAACAAGTTAGTAGAGTGATTGAGTATTTTAATGAAATGCATTGTTCCACGTGTACGTGTATATAGGTATACACGTAGGTATAAATGTATAGGTTATGATGAAAAGACACTTATCATGATTACGTAAGAATCAACGATAAGTAGAACGTTTATTTCGTATTCGCACCCTCAATGAGAATAATTTGTCTTTATCATTGTATCTCATCATTACTACGAATTTCTATACACGGTTCAAATTTCTGAATTGTTTTATAATAGAAAAAACGTAAACGGTAATATCCTTAATGTTTTATTGAAAAGCAAATAGGACTTTCCTCTACATTCGTTTCATGTATTCATTTATTTTTTATTTCTGAGTAAGAACAGATCGATAAAACGTTTCCCGGAATCATTTAAATTGGATTGGTTAATCGAACAAAATGGAGGTAGCGAAACGGTTTATAACAAATCGACCGATTAAAAAATGAAATAGAAACGAAATTAAATATAACCTGTACAAAAGATACAATGAATAAAAGAAAAGAACAAAAAAAAAAAACAATTATAGATCTTATCGTTAAGTTTTTATCAAGTTTTGTATCAGCAAACGACATTTTTCCGTTCGGTAAAAAATATTGTTCATTTTCGTAATTCTTTTTATTTTCTTATATTTTTCACAATTTCACATTATACATTTACTGTAAGTATTATTTACTTTATCGTATGGCAACTTTTATCGCATCCTTTAATAGCGATCACCGGAAATACAATTCCGAGATAAGAAGAGACAGGTGGGAAGGTGAAAAGTGGATGGTCGGAGGTGAAGTGGGGGGGGGTGAGAAGGTGGCAAAAATGAGGAGAGGGGAGATAAAGAAACGATGAGAAGACTCACAGCTGAAAAAAGAAAAGTAAAAGAATAAAAAAAAGAACAAAAAACAAGATGTCGTCTGCTTCATTTCAAAGCGACAACGATGACAACGACGACGACGACGACGACGACGACGACGACGACGACGACGACGACAACGACAAACTTGTCCTTGAGAAGTCTCTCTCCCTTATTGTACAGTTGAAATACCACGTATGGATAATGCGACTGTCCGTCGACGATCATCATACAGTAAAACGCCACTTGCATGTAGAAAATTGTTGAGAAAAAAAGACAAAAAAATATACTGCAGGCTTGAGGGAAGAGGTTATGAGAAGAGATGAGGAGAGGGGTGATGGTTGAGGTGAAGACGGGAAAGTGGAGCCTACAAAAGGTGTATGGAAAACGATCCAATCCGGGAAGGTTGAATTTAAAAGATGAAACCAACACCATTAGAGTCTTTCTTCCTTCAACCCTTTTGTTCTCCCTTTCTTATTTTCCTTTTTTTGGGGAACAAAATACGAAAACTTTCGAATCCTTTTATACGTAGGAACAATAACTGGAATAATCTTTCATATTATCACTAGATATACCAGACCAGTCATTTTGATTGGTCGGGCCATTTTAATTCAAAATGTCTACTTTATGTAACATTTGATTTCTGTAAATAATTAAGCGTTTTGTTATTTAAAAATGTCTATAAATCCATTTATCTATTAAAATTATTACTGTTAAATATTTTTTGTTATTTTTTAAGAGTAAATAAAGATTGGAAGCCTCAAAAAGCATTTTTTTGTATACACCAGTCATTTTGATTAGTGTAGTAGAAATAGGTATACTGAAAATGGTGGTATATCTAGTGATTTATGTATCGTAGAGACATATATGTAATTATACAAGATTCGAATTCTTTTCTAAATTTTGTCTCGAAAATTAAGAAAAAAAATAATTGATGTATCGTATTTTTTTTGTTATCGATCGACTTTTGGATATTAATCGCCATTTTTATAATCGTCGATAAAACAGAATATTGCAAACACAAAAAAATGGATGAAATTACAAATGTAACTCGTAATTTTTGTTGTTCTATTGTATTCTGTACAACTTTCGCAAAATTAATAAGATTAAGAGGAAAAAAAGTGGATGATCTTCTTCCTTCTTCTCATGGTTTTATTTCAACAAACAAGGTAAGAAACAAGAGAAAGAGAGAAAGAAAGATAGAACCGTTGCGATGCGGAGTTGGGGAATAATTTGATAGACTCGTATTAGCCTGAATACCGACAATTCAGTTAGCTACCCTCGGATAGAAGGCAACCAAGCCTCGTCCTGAATTCGGAGCAATTGGCACAAACTAGAGCGTTACCAGCAAGCCGATAATATAGCACATATGTATATGGCGGCCATTACCAATAACCGGCTTCTCGTCACTTTTTTTTTTATTCCTAATTTCTGTACTCTTATAATTTAATTCGCCTAACTAATGGAAAACAAAACCCAAATTTTATATAAATTATTTTATTTGTAATAAAAAAAATTATTACAATAATTAACTGTTATATATATATATATATATATATATATATATATATATATATATGTGTGTGTGTGTATAGGTTTCATTTTAAATTAGTATGAAAAATCGGTTAGTTTCAAAGTGAAATAAAAATAAAATAAAAAGAAAGATAGAAAGAACTATAGAGAAAATTTATTACAATACAAATCGTATATGATCGTGAGAAAAAAATGATTAGAGAATGTACGACAATTCCGTTTGTCTTCTTTCTCTCTTTATCTGTATGTCAGAACGATGAGAGAAACGATGGGAAAGTAGGTCAAAATAGTCGTTCGTTTCTGCCTTAACTGCGTATTAAAAGGGAACTTATACATTATAAAACGAACTGAGAACGCTGACCTGTTGCGTGAGAGTACAGACGACGATAAACGCATACACATACATACATATATTCATGTATATATATATCACGTTAATATCAATGCGGAAAAGATAAATTTAGAATACAAGGTGGGTGTGAGTTTTCAACGTTTACAACGATAACAATCATTCAAATTAATGGTCGACTTTTGTATAAGCTTGCAATTAATGTTTACCTACCTTTGCTCTAATCAAACTTAACAGCTAAAAGAAAAAGTGGAAACGAAAAAAGAAAGGAAGAAAATAAATTTTTCAATTCTACTAATTCAGTTCGAATAGTTTTACAAAAGTAATTCAATCGCATTGGACACTTGTAATTTTGTTTGATCTTTAAATTATTAATAAATAAATAATAATGTAAGTAGTGTTTACTTACCAAGCATCTTAACACTTTGAACAGGGCTGAGAGGGTAGAAATCCCCATGTAAAGGACAATGGAAGCCCACTCTGCGTTCTCTTTTTCTCGCACGTCTCGTCAACATGCAAAGTAGTACACCTAGAGCAAGCATAAGTGCACCAACGATGATGCATATCGGCCCTAGGATACGGGAGTTTCCGGTGAAGGCTATGCGAGCAGCATACGAGTCTTTATCCTCGTCTTCACCTGGGCCACGATACGAGGCGGCTAAAAACAAATAATCCAATTATATATTATATTTATTAAATTAATAATTAAATATGATAATCTTAGGATTCGAAAGTAAGTCCCAATAGTTTCTAGATTGTTTTTTTCAAAATCAAGTTAATTCCTTTGGAAATTTTTTGAAACCGATTTCTTTTATTTCAAACCTAAAGAATTTTGTTTTCAATCTGATAAAGAATAACGGTTCACCTTCAGTGTTAATTTATCCAATTAATCAATTAAATAAACATGTTCAACGTGGATAAGATCTATAAAAGACAATCTAAACAAAAAAAAATTATGCGAAGTTCACTTTCACATTGACAATGAGTGAAGATATTCGAGAGAAAATATGTGGTAGCTGTTAGTAATAAGACCGGTTTCGAGTATCTGAAGAAAAGAGATAGAGAGTTTTAGAAAGAAAAAAAAAACAGAGAAAACTAGAGAAATAAATAAAGAAAGAAAGAAAGAAAGAAAGAAAGAAAAAAATTATGGAAGGAAGAGAAGAAAGCCAGGGGGGGGGGTTGATAAATCGACCGGCAAGAAACAACGGAACTAAATGAGGGTCATATTATCCTGAAGCACCAAACGACGACAAAGACAACGATGTAAAACGACCAGCTGTTGCCTCAGAGTGAAAGTATGAGAGAGAGAAAGAATACACAGCCCTTTTCCTCCTATCTATCATACCACCAAAGTTGAAACAACTCTGTTACTAGGGTCAATGTACTCTTCTTCTCAGTCAGTTATCTTATCCCATGGTCGCCATTTTTGTTCATGTTCTACGAAACTTGCGACGCCATTTTTATTCGTGTTCTACGAAACATGCGACGCCATATTTTTTTTACTTTTTCTTACGCTTAAATTATTTCTTCGAATTTTATAAGACAAAATTGGATTAAGAAGTACATGTGTATATACAGAATAAATAAAAAAAAACATAAAATATTTAATATACTTTTTATATTAGTTGATATTTCAACTATAAATGCAAAATGTGAAACATTTGTCGACTACACGTGATTGATTCTACGAAACGTGCGACGCCATATTTTTTTTCATTTTTCTTAGGCTTAAATTATTTCTTCGAATTTTATAAGACAAAATTGGATTAGGAAGTAAATGTATACATACAGAATAAATAAAAAAAAAAACATAAAATACTTAATATACTTTTATATCAGTTGATATTTTAACTATAAATGCAAAATATGAAACATGTGTCGACTACACGTGATTGAATCCGAACTGACAAACTCGAGCAGAAAGCGGATCAATGCTGTAATTTATATATGTATACATAGATCCTATCGGTGATATATGTGTATTACGCATTACCATTGGATAGGAAGCCCCTTATGACTTGCTACACAAGTCTCTTGTACAAACGGATTATTCATTTCTACTATGAAGCCATAGAACTTTTTTTCCTCCTTTTTCTCTAAAGTTGCATCCAATATATCCTGATACATCTATAACGAAAGCTTATCTGACTATTATACATACATAATGTCTGTATACATATATTGGAATTCAGTCGACTAGATAGATTCTCTGATCTGGATTAAACTCAATTTACGTTCTTACAGGATCGATCTAAAGTTCTTAAGTCATTTTTAAACATCTATATTCCTATATTCCTTTTTCTTCAAACTGTTGAAAATGAATTTCTTATTCTGATTATGAAAGTTCAAGTTTAATCTCTGAGAAACTGTAAGCTTTATTTTAACATTTTAAGAAAGAAAATAAAAAGATTATTAATTCTGAAAATTGTTAAAAAATGTTTGATGTAAACCGTACCATATATTGACTTGTTTTTTATTTTTATTTATTAATTAAAAAAGACAAAAGAGAAAATTAATGAAAAATGTCTAATACAGTAAATATCGAATTTCGAATCGGTTGGTAATACATTATCGATCGATAATATCCAGAAATAAAAGCGGTCCTTCGATATCCGCCCATGTTACTGACATTTAATGACAACCAAACAAAAGCGAGATATGTTCTTATCTATCTTCAAAAATATACATCAAATATACGTCATGCCCCATTTCACCGATTCATTTGCCCGTCTCGTTCGTTCGTTCATCCCAAATATCTAATCCAACATTGAAAAAAAAAAAAAAACTGTCTTTCATTTCCTTCCAATTTCTATTTCCAACTTTCAAGAAACGACGTTTTGAGATCGTACAATTGAATAGTTGTGAATGCATATTGCAATCGTTTCAACTTGTAGAATATATTAAACAGGACGTGTTACTTACAAAATGGCTGATAAGAGATTTAAGATTACAAGATCGTTGTTGCGATTACGTTGTTGAATTTCTCAATAGTTTTTTAATTAATTTTTAACTAATATAAAAGATAACTCACATAAAATTTATCAATAAACAGGATCTCAGATTAAAATTGTTATATTATTTATTAAATTAGTAACCAGCTTTTCGTGATATTTAAGATTTATAGATATGTTTGATTTCACGAAATGTTTTTACTTACTAACTTATATAAAATTTTAATTGGAAAAAAAAAGTAAACGAGAAATGAAATAAAATAAAATAAGAATTTGGATAATGAGGACAAATAAAATATAAATATAATGAAATACAAACCAGTAAGCACAGCGCCGACGAGCATGAAAAGAAATCCAAATGCCGGAAGTGCAATCTGGCAGTTCGCCGCTATTACAACTCCGGCCACCATTAGACCACCCTCGATTTTTTCCACTCTCAAACGTGAAATTGGGGTTGGACACTTCAATTTCGAACCAAAGCCACCACTTAGTATTCCATCCTCAGCCGCCATGGCACTGGGTCTAAAATCACACGAAAATAAACTTTAATTATAATACTTTTAAAAACTTAACAACAACCTATTCAACTGTCACATCAAATTTGTTTTAATGAAAATTACTAGCCTTGTGTAACATCAATCAAAATGATTACTGAATTGAATATAAAAAATTATAGTAAGTGTATAAATAATACACAAAAAAATGCCATAAATTTTTTAATACTTTTACAAAACAAATACTTTAGTTAAAAATAATTTTTAAATTTATGTATATATTTTTTTTCAAATCGTAAAATTGTATAAGTATAGGAATATACTTTATTTCCATTTTTTTAAATTAAGATTCTTTTTTATATAATTATATATAAAATGTAAAAAAAAAAAATAAAAATAATTAGTTCGCTATTTATACAAAAAAAAAATAAAATAAAATAAGAAAAAAAATTTAGGAGAAAAAAAAAGTCGGGCTCAGCCGGGATTTGAACCCGGGACCTCTCGCACCCAAAGCGAGAATCATACCCCTAGACCACTGAGCCGAGACATTTGGTTACACGTGCATGTGAAACTTCATCCAGAACCGCAAGAAAGAGACTGTAATTACAGACTTTACGGAAAGACGATCATCATTTCTTCCTCAAAGTATGTAGAAACTATTATGCTAATTCTTTAAATATCAACAACTCAATTATAGATAGCCTGTAATATCTAGATGAAGCTGAAATCATCCTCAAATGGCAGAACGGTTTCATCACGCAACAATTATTCACCTTCCGTGACAGAACCAGAGTTCTACAGATGTTTTTTTTTACTATACTTTTATTTTGTTACATCTCTAATATAACAAAATAATCTTTATGCAACAAATCTTTCAAAAACTCTATATTGTAAGTGTAATTAAGTTACTCAATATTATTATATAATACAATGCAATGATGTTGATGAGATCCACCTTCGATAGCATGTTATTCCAATAATTATTTAAACTAGGTTAAGTCTTTTGTAATAAAGTTTATACTTATATACGTAAAGATTGGAAAAAGTAATATAAAATTATATTTTAAAAATAAGATTTACAAAAATAAAAAATAAAAAACATTGTTGTAGGTTTTCAAAGATCAAATGATGAAAATGTCATCATATCAAGCTATCAAATCTGCTGACAAAAGTGAAAGATCTCGCTTGATCTCCTCCTACTACTACTACCATGCTGTTTCTCACAAGTCGATACGGTCAGTCAGCAGTCGGAGAAAGGAAAAAAAAAAGAGCTGGGCTCAGCCGGGATTTGAACCCGGGACCTCTCGCACCCAAAGCGAGAATCATACCCCTAGACCACTGAGCCAACTGCTGTTGTTGTAAAGTCTTGCAAAGAACGTCTTCCTTATCTTCGACATTTTTACTAGACTTGAACTTTGTACTTATATACAGAATATAATGCAACATATACATATATCGTAATCATACTTTATCGTTCAATGTTCTTGGAAAATGATAACGATTTTTATTTTTATTTTTTATTTATTTTTTGTTTTCACTCTCTTTTTTTTTTCATCAATTTACTGCGTTTAAACTTTAATTCCTTGATAGATTCAAAGTTCTTAAAGTGATTTTAATAATCAATTATTATTCTTTCTCGAGACTTTTTAAGATTACGATTGAGATTATTTTTACTCGTGAAAAAAAAAAAGATTTGCAATTTCACAATCTCGACTAAAATTAACTTATCTTTAAGAGAGTCACGAGAATGAATTTTATTTAAATAACCTAGAAACTTTTAGGAAGCCATCTTGTATATCGTCCATCTTATTTATCTATAAGAATCGTTTGAAAAAGAAAATATTAATAATCATTTCTAGCATTACTTATCACAAATAATAATTTATTTGTAATTAATTCATATCGTAGTTTTTAATATTTTTAATGAAGAATATTATAATCACAGTATACATAAAAAAATAGACAGACGTGATTATCGTATATCTTTTGAAGGAACAAGCTACTGTCAAATCGGAGGAATCTGCGTTGGCTGTTCATTGTCCGAGAGGTTGCGGTATTTACAAGCTCGAATAATTGAATCAGACAGCAGCCTTGTCCGATGGTCTACCGACTCCACAGAGAAAGATAGACACAGACAGACAGACAGACAGACAAACGGACGGACATATAGAGAAGAGGAAGAGAGAGAGACGGAACGATGTACATAGTATCTGCATCAAGGGAAAGGTAATTAGTGTGGTTAGTCCCCTAAGCACTCCCACTCTGAGAGTAAACACTGTGTTTGTCATGCTACTGTATATTATACAAATCTAGTTTACAGGGAAATTGTACTAATACAATTAATAATTTACAGAATAGAACATAGAGAGAGAGAGAGAGGGAATATTTGCTAACAAAATTTTATCCTTAAAATCTTACCGATTTTTTTATGAGATAACAATGTTTACTCACAGATATTGTACAAAGGACATTTTTTAACTTATTTCTAATTAAAAAATTTAACAATTCGTTATTTGGAATTTTCAATAAGATTATTGTAATATTAGAATAATTATTCTCGACTAATTAACATCTTCGCGATAAAAAGAAAAGAGTCTATAAATATACCAGAGGCTCATGGCGCCATTAAAACGGTATAAATGGTTGCGTGTTTTAATGAACGAAAGGGGTTGTGAAATAGGATGCAGGGTGGTCTCGTTAACTCTACTTTAGTGTGAAAATCTCAAAGGATTAAAGTACTGTAAAAAGAGACGAAAAAAAAAGAGAAGAAGTGGTAGACAGGTAGACACACTTATTTAAATAAACGTATACATACATATAAACGTACCGATGAATAAAACAATAACTGTTTGTATGTATGATGTTTGCACCTCTTAATCCTTCAATGATTTCACAAAATAAATCCAAAGAGTTTCTTCGATTCTATCTCAAACTCGTTACATTTTTTTTTTGGTGATATTTAAATAAACAGAAAATAAAAAACTGTTCTAGTTAAGTGAAGAAAAAACTAAGAACGTATAGTAGAAACGTAACGTATTTTAATGAACACTAGCAAAGAAAATATTTTAGTGAATGATTTTTCTGTCGATTCTGTTCAAATAAACACTGCTCATCCTCCTCTCTCTCTTTTCATTCTTTTTTTTCTCTTTTTCTCTCTTATTGAGATAACTAATACATTTCTGGCATCGTTTTACGTCAAACTTATCGTTACGGTTTACTCCTTCCTACGAAAAAGAAAATAATAGAAAAAAAAATTATGTAATTTCTATATTTTATTTCCAAGAAAAGACACATATATTTTAATAGAAAAATAATTAAAAAAAAAAAAAGATATATATATATATATATATATATATATATATATATATATATATAGCTTCCATTGTGATTATATTGAATAATAATAATAATAATAAAAAATACAAGCAAAAAATACTAATAATAGATTTTCTTATCAATCATCGTGAATGTTGAACTTGTTACGATAGAAGCAGAAAAAAAAAGTCTAAAATGACGAACATATTAAAGTGTTTCTCAAGAAAGATATGACCTCTCCACCCCCTTTGACTCTTTCACCTTCTTCTCTTCTTCTCCTTTCTCCCATCTATTTCTTTTCCACTCTTCTATTCCCAATACCATCACCGGAAGAGTACTTGCTCTCGGTAGTTTCGATTTTTACGACCTCGTTCGAAAGATCACGATAAGATAACCCACATGTAAGCCATTCGACTCTTGACTTCCTTCTGCTCTGCTCCATTTACCAGAATGTTCGGGTCATCTTAACTGGGGGAACGATCAAGCTGGGACTAACAGTTAAGTGTAGGGGGATGAAGGTGAAGGAAGAGGTGGAGGAAGAGGGTGACGACGATGACAACAATTGAAACAAAAAGATAATGTTAAAAATAGAAAGATTGGGTGCTTGTCAAAGCTACGAGAATAAATTTGATAATAACATTTAGGGATTATCTAGGAATAATCTAGGGATTATGCAAAAATCAAGTATACAGTTGTACGATAATATGTGTAGTACTTATATCAAGTATGAATTATCAAGAATATTTATAAAAAAAAAATAGTCTTATTAACAAATATAGTCAAATATAAAAAAGTAAAACAAATATAGTCAAATATAAAATAGTAAAACAAATATAGTCAAATTAAAAAAGTAAAACAAATATAATAAAAAAAAAAAATAGTAAAACAAATATAATAAAAAAAAAAAAAATAGTCTTATTAACAAATACATATAGTCAAATATAGTTTTATTTTAAACTAGATTACTAACATTAGATAATCTAGGGATTTACGTTAGGATATAATTTTATTTGATAAAATAATTGTGATGTCCTAACCTAAATTGTATAATTAATTTATTATTATTTGAATTTCTCTTTTACTACATAAATGTTTTTTTTTTCTATTTACATTGATATTTTTCTTATCAACGTTCAAGTTACAAATAAAAATATAACTATGTTATATATGTATGTTATCGAGATATTCGATCGACAAACGAGAGACGAATGACGATAAACTATGTCCACTTTCATAATGTTACAAGTACGATAAATATCTTGATATTTGTATCTTGTGCAAAGTTTTTTTTTTGCACCTGTGACCTATGACTACTGAGTATTAACGTTATGTGATGATTATTTTATTATAATCATTCATTTTTACACATGTAATTTTAATTCACGTTTAATATTCATGCATCAAACACACACGCACACGCGTGTTTATATTTAAATATAATTATGTCTCTTATTAAAAAAAAAAAAGGTCATATTGAGAAATAAGATTAATGTTACAAATTTAATGCACGTGTGCATTTANAAAAAAAAAAAAAACATGTTTTCCATTTTTTCTCTCTCATAGATCTAAACCAACAGAACTCTCTCAACTAACTTTTTTATTTTCAGTTTTGTTTTTATCCACGTGTTTCTTTTTAATTGCATAAACGAGACGATTCAAAATGAATGTAACGTAAATTACATTCTAGTTATTAAAATGTAAGTTAAAAAGAAA